GGGAGGGAACAGAGAGCTGCTTGAAAAAAAAAAAAAAAAAGGTTTCTTTGGGGAAAAATAAAGAGCAGATTTTGATGACATTTTAGAAATTAGATAGCCCCTGCTTGAATGTTTCCTTTTAACCTAACAATTGTTGGCAGGGGGTTGAGCTATAATAGTCACTACTCTGAGCTTACTAAATGCTATCATCTGAATCTTGAATGACTCCCAAAGGCCCATGTGTTGAATGCCTCAGCCAGAGGTAATATTAGGAAGTCATAGAAACTTTAAGAGGCGGGGCCTAGTAGAAGACAGGTTACTGGGGGTGTGGAGATCTCAGACCCTGCTCTTCTCTGTCCTCTCTGGATGCCATGGAATGAGCGGGCCTCCTTCACCACCAGCTCCAACCATGATGAACTGTGCTTCTACAGGTCCAAAGCAGCTGGAGCAACTGACCATAGACTGAAACCATGAGTCAAAATAAAATTTCCTCCCTTTAAATTGATTATATCAGGTATTTTGTTACAGCAACAGAAAGTTCTTATTATATGCTGAATTAGTTTATATCATTAGAATATAAACAGATCTCAGAACATAGAATTTATTGTACAGATGTCAAAATTACCTAGATTAATTTTCAAAGACTGGATGAGGGTATTTGGGAAGATATTGGTCAAAAAATATAAAATATCAGTCAAGAAGAATATGTTGCAAAGAAATCTACTGTATAACATGGTGCGTAGAATTAATAATAATGTATTCTTGTAAAACCACCAAGAGATTACATTCTCACTGTGGGGTGATGAAAGTTATTAACTAACTGAATTTAGCCATTCCATAAAGTATGCATATTTCAAAATCCACTGTGTATAATCAATACATATAAATTTTATATTTCATTTAACAATAATTTTTTATATATTAGAAATTAAACAGAGACATTTCCATTGGTCATCTTGTCCTTGCAGTGGGGAGATGCTCACCCAGAAAGTAGCCCTACGAGGAGCCAGATGGTGCTGGGGAGAGCCCGTTCTTTGTGCCAGTCACCTTGTTGGCTGGCCTGCTACCCAGACTTGTTGAAGTCAGACTTTCATCCTGTAATTTCCCTTGTCCTTGCCCAGGACAGAAGGCTTGGCACAGAGCAGGAGTTCAGAGAATATTCGCTAAGTGAATCACATCAAACCTCAACATAATCCAACTAGATTTAAAGACGCCTGGAAAGTTCACAGAGAATGGTTGAATTTCACCCAGAACATGTTTGTTTACTAACTTAGCAATTTCTGGTGAAGCCTTGTAGGGCTGGCAGGCTGTCTGCCATCAGCTCCTATCTGCAATGCTCTCTCTGTTCTCTAATTCTTTGTGTCCCTGGGATGAGATTATTTGGTTCTCAGTAATGAAGAAACCATAATGATCACAAAAGATTGCACTTCTGCTAGAATTTAACTGTATTGATCTTTTGTTGTTGTTGGTTTTTTTTATTCTGGGAACATTCAGATTTTAGATTTCCAATTAAAACTCCTATGACTCCTTTCTCCCCTTGAGGAGAAGTACTTGACTACAATAAAAACAAAAATGTCCCACTCAAATATCCAAAACCCAGAGGCAGTTACAGTGCTTCCTTTTGTTCAGAGAACCAGCCTTTCTTTTGCATAATTTTTAAACAGCTCTATTGAGCTATTTATCAGAATCCATACAATTCACCCATCAAAATTTCACAATTTAGTAGCTTTGAAAATATTCACAGAATTGTGCAATCACTACCTCATCAAAAGAAGCTCTATATGAGTCAGAAGTCACTGATCAGCTTGGGCAGGGGGTGCGCACATGTAACCCCTTCTCTGTGGGAGGCCAAGGCAGGAGAATTGCACGTTAGAGCCCAGCCGATTAGCATTTAGCATTTAAGGAGACCTTGTCTTAAAGTAAATAATTATCGGGGAGGACATAGGTCAGTGTGAAGGACCTTGGTTTAATCCCCAGTACCATAGAAAAAGATAAAAGCAGTCACTGATCATTCCTTCTTCTCCTTGGCTTCCTGGTAAGCACCACTCTGTCTCTATGGATTTGCCTACTCTAGGCATCTCTCAGAAATGAAATTATACTATGTATATCCCCTTATGACTTGCTTCTTTTATATAGCACACTGTGTTTGAGCTTCATCCATATAGTAGCAGGCTTCCTAATTCACTCTTTTTACAGCTGAATAATAGGCCATGTTCGTTTTGCTTGTTCACTTATCAGTAGATTGAATTGCTTCCACCTGTAGGCTGCTGGGAATTGGCTATGAACATTTATGAACAAGTTTTTGTGTGGACATATACCTTTGTCTAATTATATGCTACAAGTAGAATTTCTGAGTCATATGGCAATTTTATGTTTAACATTTTGAAGTATTTACTAATTGTTTTCAAAAGTGACTCTCACTTTACATGAGCACCAGAAATGTATGATTCTCCCAACTTTCTCACAATCTTACCAACATATCATTACTTGCTCTTTTGTCTTACACTGCTAGTTAATATTCATAAACTAATTGAAAATGCAAAGATGATATAAAGACAATAAAAGAGCCCATAAGTCTACCTATAAAAATTCTAACTGGCATGACCAAATTATATAGAAAAAACACAAATAGAAAGAACTTTCCATATTGCCAGTGCTCTGACTTCAAAGAAACTGTTGATCACAGATTCTTGTACATCAGTCCAGAAATAAGCCTCATGAGGATATGTTTTTAGTTTACACAAGAATGACAACTCTTCATGCTTCCTACCCCACACCCCAGACATGGTTTTCACTGTTGTTTTCCCCTATGTATCTATGGTATCTGTCTCTTATCCAGAAAGCCTGTGGCACCCACAAAGTAAGGATATTAATTAGTCACCTTTTGAGAAAGTCAGCTTAAAGGAGGGAAGACTTATTTTGCCTCAAAGTTTCAGGTTAAGTCTCTTTTCAACTGGTTCCATGGCTATGGGCCTGTGGTGAAATAGAAACGTGGTGGAAGGGCATTAGGGAAAAAGAATTGCTTAGCTCATGGCAGCTAGGAAGCAGAGAGCAAGAGAGCGAAAAAGAGGATTGGAAATAAAAGCTCCTCCCTCAGTGGCCCTCATCCTCCAGCTAAACTCCGCCTCCCAGTAATCCCAGCAAGCTATGAACTCATCCATGGATTGATCCACTGAAGAAGTTAGAGGCTTCGTGATCTACTCACTTCCCAAAGTGACACTTCTGGGGAATTTTGGATCCCAACCATGACAGACATGGTGGCTGAGGATGCTGAGTCTGCCCTTCCAGACACCTGAGCAGTATTTTTCCATTTGTATCTTCTCATACGGCCTCATAAAGTATTCTGCATGCAGGAAAAACCATTTTTGCAAGATGACTTTGATTTAACCATGATACTTAGGAGTATTATGTGTGTTGTCTTTTTTCTTTTTTTTTTTTTGCTGAATCCCCTAAAGTAAACACAGGGATTGAAGAATCCCAAGGTTAATGTACTTTTATGTACTTGTGCCATATTCTGCATTTGACTGGGGTTCTTGATAACATTCTGCATGCTCCGTTCCTTCTCTCCTTCAAACAGTGAAGACCTATAGCCTTGCGGTTCCTGGCATTTTTCTGTTATCCAGCCGGCTACACAGAGGTGATCGGAAGGCACTTATAAATAAATCCACTCACACTGAGAGCCAAGGAAGCAGTTCTCAAAGTCACATCTAAATTTCATGACTCAACCCTTTCTGCAATTACCATGCAGACAATCTTAACACAATCTACTGGAGTGATTTCTGCGAGATGACACTGAAACCCTGAGACACCTTCGGGGTGACTCAGCACCCTTGGGATAGGGCCAATCAACTTGATGCTGTTTCCTGTGAATAATTCCTTTCCTTATTTCACCAGATCACCTTTATTTTATAAGATCTCCTCAGTTGACATTCTAGCCTCTTTTTTTTTTAATTCTTTGATCCCTATAGAGTCATCTTCATTTGGCTACAAAATACTAATTAATTATTAATTTAAAAAGATGTCAGAACTTTAATACTTGAAATACGGTAGCACAATGAAAATACTTCCCAACCTGAGGTCTGATGAAACTGTAGGCTTGAATACATTAATGGAAAAGTGGACAGAGCACAAATGCAACATTTTTAAGCATTGTGATTATGATTAGTATTTATTTCGTGTTAATAATGCACTGGATAACATTAAAAACCAAATGAAGGGTGGAATTAATCATGAGTCTAGCCTGACCAACCTGCCTAAATAAAAGATTATTTTATGGAACAGATGGTATTGAAAGGAAAAGATGAATCTTTCCATTTTAACCCTTGAAATAAATGTTGAGAAACTGTAAAATAATAGTTATTTTTTATAGTGTCTACAGCTTGCCAGACACCCTGTAAGTAGTTTCCAGGAATTATTTTATTTAATGTTCACAGTGGCTATTATTATTACTCCCGCCTTCCAAAATGGAACATTTCTGAGTTTAATGATGTTGACGATACATGGAAGAACACAGTTTCATAAAAGACATTTGTTAAATAAAATTTAGAGGAAGCCACTTTTGGGACTAGGCTCCTGTCCTGGGTCCCAAAAGACCAAAATAAAGTCAAACATGGAACCACGCAGGTTAAAGTACTGGCTCACTAAAGCAAAATTAAGTTGTTACCTGAACTTCTGAGAAACCACAAGAGAGAAACAGCCACCAAGTTTTCCAAATAGGCCAGTTTCGTGAAACTGAAGTTCCCTGTGCCTTAATTTTTACCAAAAAAAGCTAACCTGACATTACCCAGTTTAAAAAAAAAAAAATCCCCACATTACAATGAAAGCAACTCATTAAATGACCAAGCTTCTTTTTGTTCTTTATCTCTGCCTTGCTCAGCCCTTCTCTGTGTATAAACCTGGGTGTAATGATGCCTGCCTATAATCTCAGCTGTGTGGGGGGCTGAGGGAGGAGACCCCAAGTTTGAGCCAAACTGGGCAATTTAGTGACTTTGCAAGATCCTGGCTCAAAAGGAAAAAATGATTTTTAAGTAAGGGATGGGGCTTGGGGCTTGGGCATATAGCTCACTGTAAAGGCGCTGGCCTCAATCCACAATCCTGCAACCAAAATAATAATAATAATTAATAATAATAATAATAATAATAATAATAATAATAATAAATAATACTCGAACAAAAACAACTTCTTCCACACAGCCCACCAGAACATTTATTCTGTTTCATGAAATGAACTACTGCCTTGTTATTCTGTAATTAAAAACAAAACTAAGATTCTTAAATTTATGTAATTTTGTCCTTCTATTGATCCAATAAATACTACATGAATAAATATGTGTTGTCAATGGCCTATCCCACAGTATTGGGCAGGATAACCTTGGAAACACTTTTAGCTCTATGATTCTGAGAAATAAAAGACAAATGATTTAAATTCCATTTTCTAGGACATCCCCCTGCTGATCCCAAATATAATTTTGGATTTTTTTCTTAGCATCCTTTCAAACAGCCACATGGTATTCCATGGTATGGCTTTACCAGACTGCATTGAATGAATCATCTTTATTTGGTAAATATTTATGCCATGGCCAGATTTCACAATATTAAAAAGAATCTAGGAATGAAACCCCTTTAAAAGATGCTTTTGAATGCCGTTCTAATTCTTTCTTGAGACAAACCTCTTCAAATAGAATTGCTAGGTCAAATGACATGTTTAGTGCCTCATTGCTCAAAAAAAGACAAAAATATAAATATATGGTATTTGGGCAAAGGTTTAAAAAAAACTGTGCTTCCAAACTAAAGGCAAGTGGAAATAAAATGGAAGTGCTGTGTTAATTTTTCATCTCTGTGACTAAATACCTGGGAAAATCAGCTCAGGAGGAAGAGTTCTTTTGGCTCACAATTTCAGAGGCTTCATTTCATGGCTGGCCTACGCCATTGCTTTCAGGCCTATGGTGAAACAGAAACATCATGGTGGAAGGGTGTGGCAGAGGAAAGCTGTTTACCTCATGGTGATACAGGAAATTATACCAGAGACGAAATATGCAATATTACATCTCCCAACCTACTAGCTGTCTGATGCACCAGGCCCTTGTTCTCTAAAAATGAAAGAATGAATTCGAGGAACAGCGGAGATTAAGAGTAGGAAGATATGTATTGATAGGATGGCCGTTGACAGTAGCCTGGGGACCCTACTTCACAGAGGAGTTTTATAGGGCTAAATCCACATGGGTGCAATGTGGGCTACAGCCATGATCAACCAATAAGTTTACAGGTAAAGCCACAGTGTTCCAATTGGGATGAAACTCATGTAACAAGTCTGGACAGAAAGAATGAAAAGACTTCTCCCAGGAAATGGTGGGTCCAGAGGTCTCTGGTCACCCACGAGGGTGGCTAATGTCTATCTAGACTTCATTAGGCCTAGTGTCTGTCCTTTGAGGAAGTATGCACGTCTGGTTATCATGTCTTCGTCTTAAGGTCTGGTCTTCAACAGATGTGTCTCTGGCCACAGTTGTGTGTTTCACCTTTGTCCTGACTCTCTCGAGGAGCTAGCCCTATGTGACCCCATGTAATATCTCTCCCTAACTCAGCTGTCTATAGTAAAGGCAGCCAGGCAGCAGAGAGAAAGGGAATCAGCCAAAGACGGCCCATATTAGCCAGCTTCATCCTTCTGTTTTTGTTCTGCCCAGGCCCGCACTCAACTGGTAGTTACCATCCATGTTTGAAGCACATCTCCCCGCTCAGTTTCCTGTCTCATACGTAGTCAAACATCCTCACACATACACCCAGAGGTGAGCTTTAATGATTTCCTTTTCATTTCTCAATCTAATCAAGTTGATAAGCAAGATTAACTGTCACAGCTCCAAAAAGGAAAAGTGAAAGAAGTCAGAGGATTCTTGAGGTTCCAGTCCCGAGAGTGTGGTCCCAGATTGCTTCCATCCACATTTTCACTAGATACCCTATCGCACACCTACCTAGTACAGCCCTGTTAAGGGAGAGAGTCTCATGACTGTCTAGTGCTACAGAAACAGCTAACTCTAAACAAAGCATGTCAACCACAGCCATTGTCTCACTATCACTAAGTCAAAGCATGAAATTGTGAACAGAAGAGAAGGGAAAGGGAAAGTGTTTGTGGGAAATATAAGAAGAAGAAAGGCTTCTGGTAGCTGGGAGGGGTCCCAGGACGTGGGGTGCTTCTTGGTCTGGAACTTTGTATGGATAAGTGGAGTGCGAGAATTGCACAGTTGTTTAGCAATCTCCTATCACAGGTAACTGTGGGTTTAAAATGACCAATAGGAACTCAGGCTCTCTAACCCAGTTCCTCAGCATGCGGAGCTTAAAGGAGAACAAGTTAAAAAGGAAACCAGGTGTCTTGTACTTTTATATTTCTCCAAACTCAGAAGGGAGGGACTGCACGTGAGCCGTGAGGGTGGAGATGGAGTCGCAGTCCGTGTTGGCTGGGGAACAACTCTCCTGGTGGCCAAAGTCCTAGCTTCACTGCCTGTTCTTATTCTAATTCTTATCTGTAGGACTGACTACTCAACTCTACCCCAGACCCTTTTCCAGCTACAGCAGCTGACTACTCATAAGCTAACATTTACTTCACTTAGGAGCATGTCCTCAATATGTATCTATTTTCCTACGAATGGCTCTAATTTCTCATTCTTTATGGCTGAGAAGTATTCCATTTTATAGAAAAACCACATCTTCTTCATTTAAGATCCTAATGAGATTATGAACAATGTGAAACAGGGAGAAAAGGGCTAAAGGTGTAGGGAAAGTGGGAAGGGTAGGGGAAAGGTAATGAGGGAAAAAAAAATAGGAGAAAATGAAAAAATAGAAATAAAATGTTTTTAAATGGGGAGGGGAGGAGGGGGTGAAGGGAGGGCAGGGACAAGGGGAAAAATTGAGAACCAAGACCTGTCATGTAAAGGTGCAAGATCCCAATGATGAATGTAACTGTACTGTATACCTAAAATGTACCAATAAACTCAATGAGGAAAAAAATAAGCTAATTTAAACTCTCTTTTACCCTAACACTTAAAGGCAGGGCTTGCCCTATGGGATACACACTCCCATTATTTCCTTGTCCTCTACCTCAAGGTAAGAATGGGGACTGAAATCTCAGTCTTTTCTGCATCTCCAATTAAGCGGCTAGTAGGTCCCCTGTGGAGATTAGCACACCAGGAGCTGACACAGCGCTGGACTCCCAGGAGATCCAGCCTCAAAGACAAAACCCCTTTTCTTTCATTCAGGACTTCTGGGAAGAGATAGCTCAGGTGCAGGCAAAAACAATCCAGCTCCAATTTTTTAAAGAAAGGAACAGCTTAGACTCTTTAGTAACCAATTAAACCCTCTTTACATGATGAGATCCATTTACATAAATTTTGTCCCACGTTAAAATAAAGGAATAACAAACTTTAAGCTTCTACAGAATACACCAGATTTGAAAAGCAAGGGTCCCCCAGGTTACCTCAGGCAGGATCTGGTACAAAGAGATAAGACTCAAATCCTGTAGTCCTGACTGGACTTCTGTGGGCAAATGCTTGTTTTCTTCTTTGAATGATTTTAAACAGCTCAGAAATTACCTCACCTGCTTAATCCATTTCTCCCTAGAGAAAAAGAAGAGAACAGAGACTGTGAGCAGTGTCAAAGTACTCTTAGACAGGTGGACTGTTGGGCAGGGGCAGGAACAGGGACATTTTCTTCCTGTCTCTGCTGCCTGAGTTGCAAGTACTAGGCCTCATTTTCCTACGGGTCTTTCTCACCATTGAACTACAAGCCATATGATAGAAATGGTTCTGGAGTCTTTCCTCGCTGTCCTAGCATAGCTCTGGATACAGCAGGTGTTTCACAAAGATTTGCTTTTGAATGCCATGTGGATAACACAGGAGCACACTCACCACTACTGGTCCAGTTCCCAATGGAAAATAGGCAGCCTTTAACCAAAAGCAAACCCAAGCAGAGTTTCTGTTTTAGTGTTTTCAAAATAACTGCATTTGAATTCACATGTCTTAAATTACCAGTGCTAGTTCAGGTTCTCAATTGAAATAAATCTAAATCTTACCTTAGATAAGATTCATATTTATTTCCTATAAAGACAATTAACGTTCCCTTCTTAAGTGTTTTAATGAGCACAAATTGTGTGGTTGCTTGGCAGAATGAGAATGTTAAGTGAAACTTTTGGACACTTGGAGCTTTATTATATTTTTCATTTTTACTTTTTGATACCCAGGTGCTTTTCAAATTATTTAGGTAACATTGTCTTACATTGATTAAGGCCTTATAAAAGGCATTTGCAATATTAACATGTAATGCTGAAAAAGTTTATCTACTTACTTTTGTTCCATTCTGACATGATGTTTTCTTTTTTCCTGTATAGGCTTTTTCTTTAACCTTTTTTGAAAAGGCATTTATTTTTCTCTTTCCCATCACCTTCCTTGCAGGTTATTTAAACTTCTGAGATTGTCCAAAGATATCTAAGACAACCCAGCTTCAGAGTATAATCTGCTCACAACTAGTGCATCCTGTGCCAGCCAAGTGTCATTTGCTTTCCATAAGAGGCTTGAAAGTCTTCACAGTGAAAAAATAAGAGTTTATGTTCCATCATTTTCAATTCAACTCTAGCAGGCTGATACATGCTTTGTTTAAATAAACTTCTTGCATAGTTTAAATTTATGTAACTTGTTAACTAATAAAAATGTCTTTTTAACCATTACTACTTGACTGTATAGTTGTATTAAATTTTATTTGCAAAAAAAAAAAAAAATTTACCTAACCAATTTGTTCAGCATTCATACAAACCCTAAGCAAGCAGCAAAGTAAACGGCCTCCTTAAGGTCCATGCACCTCCAAAACCCAGAAGTGGCTTCTAGAAACTTCGACTTACTGGGTGAGTTGAAGCCCTAACAAGTGAATGAATGAACAAATACACAGTCATAAGGGGAAAAGGTAATTATATAAGAAAGGATAATGCATCTATTTCTTCAGCTAATTTTGGACCCGACAAATGCACGTAACTCACTCAAATGTAGTTCTTCTTAAAATTAAATTTTCCACCGGTATATGGGAACAGTTAGAATTTTGCTAATTCTAAACTCTTTGAGGCCAATGTCATGGACTTTATAGTTTGTTCTGTCTAATTCGGATGCATTTTAAAGCAAATTACTTAAATTATCCTAGTTATCTGCAATTTTCTGCTAGCTAATGCCTATCAGAAGTCACACAATTTATGTATTCATTTCTTAGGAAACATGTAAGACATAAATATTTTCATTAAACGTGTACATTTGTCAACCACTATAACTGGTGTTCCATATACAATATTTATATAATGCTCAAAATAACCCATGAAGTAAGAATTATTTATCCCCATTCTCTGGAATAGAAAACAGGTTCAAGGAAATGAAGGAAGGTGCCCAAAGCATTATGATTTCCAGCAGCCAGACCAGAAGTAGAGCCAGTTATTTATGACTTCAACTGTCCTTTCTTCTAGGCCTCTTGTATCAGCAAAAGAATGGACTAATTTGTCTCCTTCACCAAAACCATAGCTAGAGTACAGCTATGAGTCTTTGTACATGTTCAAACAGGGGTTTCGTCACCTGCTACTCAGAGAGACACTCAAAACTCTGTCTGGAACAGAACCATAGAGCTCAGTCATAACAGTATGGAAAACAATCATATGAGATGGGGCCCTGTTGCCTCTCCTGTCTGCTCTTATTTTCTGAGCCAGCATTCCCTTCACTGAGTCCCAGCAAGGGAGGCAGGGGCGGGATGGTCTCCTTGCTGCCTCATCCTTGGAGCCTTTTGAGCCTCCTGCCTACTTACCACCTGACTCCCTTGCCTGGTGTCTATCCCAGTCATCCTAAAATTCAAGCCAATACATTGATGATTCAGATAGACAGACCAATATAGCGTCCATGGTTTGCAAATCAGAGCCACAGTGGAAATACACCGGTATTTCTGTTCTTTAAAATGTTGGGGTTTGTTAGTCACCACTCTACACTCCTGCTGCCAAAGGAAAACTTCCTGTCTCTTTTCCTTGCCATGCTACACATTCCCCTCACTCCCACACAGCCTGAAGTATAAGGGAAATATCCTCTTCTCCTGGACACAGACTAATTTGAGGTTACTTTTCTGTGATGGATAGATTCACAGAGAAAAAAGATACTTTGCCATCAGGCACAGAAACATCCACATCACTTGAGCTAAGGACGATCACCACAGTTAATAAAAGGAAGAAGAGAATTAGGGGAAAGTGAGAAAGAGAAAAACGGAAGGAGCCCAACCTTGCCCCATGTGTTCTTCTGGTCCCTGGTTACACAAGATGATGCATTTTATTTAGATTTAAGGATTCTGAAATAGCTTTATTTCACTTGTAACTGAAGGAATCTTCGTATTCTCTACATGTTGAAGCTAAGTAGTGGCAAGAAAACTAACTAATGACTTAATTTTTACTAAGATGTAAGTTACTTATGGCTTAATGTTTCTCTTCTGCACTCAAAGTTAACTCAGAATTTTGAAGGAACGCTGCCGATATGGTGTACTTTCTTTGATGCTCTGTCTGTACTTATTAAAAGACTCTCCCTCGTCTGCCATGTCTCTCTCCTAATACTGCATTTTAGAGTAGTTTTAAGTTTATAGGAAATCAAGAAGTCAGAGAGCTCTCATATCTTCTGTTTCCACCCTTCCCCTGACATCTCTCATCAACACGGCACATTTATTACAGTTGATGAGTCAACACGAATACATGATTATTCACTAAGTCTGCAGTTTGGATTAAGGATTATTCTTCTGCACCGTGCTTTCTACGGGTTTGACAAGTGAATCCTGTCACGCACCACCTCTGTATCATCATGCGGAAGAATTTCACTGCCCTAAAACTTCACAGTCCTCCACCCATTCAGTTCTTCCTTCTGCACATCTCCCCCGCAGCCACAAGCGAACACTCATCATTTCCACTGTCCCTGTCCATAATCCTGCCTTTTCAAGTACATAAGACAGTTGGTATCATATAGTATACAGATTTGAAGACTGGCTTTCACTTACACAGTGTGCTTTTAAAAAATAACCTACAGTGAATATTTAATTTTTCAACTATTATGATAAAAGACAAATTGCCCTTAAATCACCCTCAAAATACTCCCCCTTGCTTCCAACACATGCATCCTATCATTCTTGGCAGTGTACCATATACTGTAATAACTTTTTAAAACATAGACATGCACTGTGTTTTCGTCATCACTTCTGCAGCATGTATTCAAGGTTCCTCCGTGACTTTCCATGGCTTAGTCACCCATTTCCTTTATCACTGAACAACATCCCGTTGTCTGGACATTTCACAGATTGTTAATCCATGCACTTACGGAAAGGATGTCTTGGTCGCATCCAGTGTGAAGCAGCTATGCCCAATGCTTCTGTAGGGGCCCTCTCTCCCTCAGGCCCTGCTTATCCTCATTTGACAGCCACTTTCACTTTCAAGAGACCCCCAGATGTCACCTGCCTGATGACGGCTTGCCAATTCTTCCCAGAGCTGCACACTACGTCTTACCCTCTTCCTACCACCCTTTCACATGATTTCAAATAGCATCACCACATTCACATTCCAGTATGGTTTCTTCCTGTCCATTTCTCGACAGAGTGGATCCTGGGGCAAGTCTTCTTCTCCAGTGAGTTGCTTAGCATCCCGTGCTTTGGTTTCTTTTTCTGCAAAATGAAAATGATAGGATTATTGAGGCTTGAACAACAGCAGCCGCAAAATTTATGTGGAGTACCTGGCACATTGTAGGCATTGTATGAATGTTAGGTTTTATTGTTTTACCTTTTACTGTTATTAATTTCCATCTTTATAGTTATGGGAGCCAGCACGGAGCTAACACTTACTAATTTTTTGATCACTGATTTCTTCCTGAGTGTTGTTTGATATTTGACAGAATATTATTTCTCATTTAAAAATAATCACAATTATGACAAATTATTCTAATTTATTACTGAAGCAGTTTCACCAGTTATTTCAGTGGAACGTGGAGGCTCTAGGTGAAGCCACTTCTATGAAGAGGCCATGAGAGCTACCAAGGCCTGGAAGAGCAGAAGATCTTGAGTGTTTGCCACATTCATATCCACTAACTCTTTGGACCCAGAAATTATATTTCCAGTGACTATGTCTTGATTCCTTTCTAGAGAATTGATGCAAACTCAAAGCAATATCATAAGACTGAAGAGTAAAGGAGAATGACAACTCTACTTCCCATGAAATCTGCGATTGCTAGTGGGAGGAGGATGCTTGAATAATCCTGACCTGTGCGTTTCTTTCTTCCTGTAGGAAAACTCAGTATTGCAACCATGCCTCGGGCTGTGGAATTAAAGAGATGTTGCATGTAAACAACATATGTCATTAGTGAAAGGAATCTAGGAAACACCAATGTTTGCTTTATATTCTCCATTTTCAGCAAGGAATACAACTGAACTATTGTCACTTTTCACCAAGCACCCTCTGAACCTCAGTCCCAAGGTGATGTGTACCTGGGTTCAAATAATCCAGGTGCCC